GTTTGACAAATCATAAACTATATAAATACCCCCATGAAAGATAACTTTCAATCTGTTTAGCAAATGTGGGAAGAGGGTCTCTAAAATTGCAGGTACTTTAAAAAACCACAGAGAGCTTTGTTTTTCCTGAATACAGTCATGCTTGCAGGGCCCTGATTATTTTTAATTATTCAGAACCTTGGTCCAAAACCATTTTTTTCTAGTAGTTAAATGAGTACCTTAATTTCAGATAAGAACGTTTTTCCTTTATAATGTTAGCATGTCAAAGATCTGGAGCTCAAAATTACATGTTATTTTTTTTAAAAGCCTCCAAAATATGTAAACATGAGTAAATCAGACCTGCTCCCAGTTCCAACAAAACTGGTTTCTCTGTGTAGGCTACACGAGTTAGTCACTAGGCCCGTCAGTTCTCACCCGTCAATCCCCCTCCCATCTGCATGGAACCTCCTCTCCCCATGACCGCCTGCCTCCGGCCCCCCTCCGGCTCCAGCATACCCTCGGGTGGAGGGAGGACAGCGGCAGCCCACGCTCCCGGCTCAGCGCTCCACTCCTGGCCTGTCTGTCCTACCGCTTCTTGGACCACCGCGCCAGACAGCACCCAGCCACCCAAGTTCCCAGAATGCACGCCTGCAGGCCTCGTGTTTGGTCAGAGCTCTTCCTTTGAATGTGGCTCAACCGCCTGCCTCCCAGATGCTGCCTTCGATGCTTCCCAGGAGCGGAGTCCTGCCACCTCCTGTCACCTCTTCACCCTGCACCTCTATACACACAATAAACACCTGTTCACTGGCCTCACTCCTATTCATCTCCCCAGAGCCCAGCCCAGGGCCTGGACCACCCTAAGCCATGAGTGATGCCCAGTGGATGAGCTCCAGGGCAAAGGTCCCCGCACGTGACCCAGAGCCCTCCAGGGCGCCTCCCTTCACAAACTGCCTTGATGTTTAGAAAGAAGTCTGGTTGGGCACAGTAGTCGGATGCTGCAGTAATTTTTGTTGCCCAAGTTGTAAATGTGACCTCACTGTCGGTATCGACTATACTGGCTTGCGTGATAAACTCGCTTTTTGTGGAAGGTTTCCGTAATCATTAAGAGTCCAACAACATTCATTGTTCTAACAGCTGTAAAGTCAGTGACAACTGAGGTTGCCTTTGGAACTCACACAAGCAGGACTTTTTCATGAGATATCTGGGGCTTTTAAATGCTCTTTTTAAATGAAACCAAAGACTGCAGGCTGTGAAATGAAAGACTGAAAAGGCCTCTAGCCTGCAAGACAGAGTCGGCCTGCCCGAGGGATCAGGGAGTGCTGGCCTCACAGCACCAGGTCGGGCAGTGCTTCCTCTTCGATTCACGGGAAAGTGCAAAGGACCGCTGCCAGTTCTTCCTCAAATGTGGGGTGGACCTCACTGCCACGCCATCAGGGCTTTGGTGGGAGACTTCAGGTTACTGATGGTGTGGAGATGGCGTGTGGAAGGGAGAGGCGGTTTTGGGAGACAGAAGGCTGGGAGCAGGCAGGGAGTGTGAACTGAAGACCCCTGCACGGGTCCAGGTGGGAAGGGCAGAGGCTTCCACGGGGAACTGACCCAGAGGAGGCTTGGTGAGCGCACAGCACCAGGTCGCCTCCGAGCAGCCCCACCCGGCCCTCAGGAGGAAGCTGTGAGCCTCCAGCTCTGCAGCTCAAGGAGGGCAGGGACCTCAGGGTGGGCACTGTTCGCAGGCCTCAGCTTCCTGGGCAGTCTCAGCCCTTCCAAGGCAGCATTCCTTATGGACAGTCTGTTCGGATGAGCCAACAAAAAGGTTTAAAAATAAAGTTAGGCCTCATTTGAAGTCCAAATGCTAAATAATGTCATCATTGACTCTATTGGTATTTAAAAATGCGATCTTTCAATTTATCTAATTCAGTGTAGTAAGAACTACATCAATGCTTTCTTCATCCACCTTTATCCACATGGTAAAAATGCTGAGAAGTAAAACATGTTATCATTTTCTAAAATTGGCAACTGTCTGCATTCGCTAAAATGCCAGTGTTTTTATTTGTAATTCCAGCAATGATTTTGGGGCAAGATTCTTTCACCTTAAAAGGCATCATACGAGCCCTAACCGGTTTGGCTCAGTAGATAGAGCATTGGCCTGCGGACTGAAAGGTCCCAGGTTTGATTCCGGTCAAGGGCATGTACCTTGGTTGCAGGCACATCCCCAGTAGGGGGTGTGCAGAAGGCAGCTGATCGATGTTTCTAACTGTCTATCCCTCTTCCTTCCTCTCTGTAAGAAAAAAAAAAAATCAATAAAATATATTTTTTAAAAAAGGCATCATACGACCTTAATAAAGTAATGGAGCAGGTGATCATCAACGGCTGCTAATGGCACAAGAAGAGGGACAATCGGACACATGTGCCAATGAAATGGTCTAGCAAAACAAAACAGGCTAACAAAACAACAGCAGGCTCTGATCAAGGCTGGAAATATAGGAGGAAGGGGAATGTGGACAAGGACACCATGAGCTGCAGTTGGGAAAACCCAGGTTGGGACAGACACCTGCAGGACTACAACTTGCTTGTACCCATAAGTTACAGGAACAACAGACGGAGATTTGTAGATAGACAAACACTTGTCATGAGACTCAGCGACCAACCATAATGTATGGAGCTGACCCAGATTCAGATTCAAACAAATATATTGTGAAATTTTTCCCGAGACAATCAGAAACTGGAAGTGACTGGTTGATGATACTCGGGAATTACTGTCAGTTTTTAAAGATATGACCATTGGTACTGTGGTCATATTTTTTTAAAAAGGACTTTTAAGATACTTATAGGTGAAATGATAGGGGGTTTGGCATTAGCTTCAAATTGATCTGGGAGTGAGTGGGGGAGAGCTGAATACAAGATAGGTAGACGGAGTGGCTACTGGAATTAGATTACTAGGTCACTGGGTTATTCTTTTCACTTTCATGTTGCTTGAATTTTCCTATAAGGAAGTTGAAAATCAAACACAACCGGAAGGCGCTAGAGACCCACAGGTCACACTGGACCAACCTGGACCCTGAGTTTGGGACGTGCAGCTGTAAAAGTTTTTTTCTCTAAGCAAAAGGAACTTTTATATTTTTAGGAATGCCTTAAGGTCATTTCCAAATAGTTTGAATATTGTTTTAAAACATACTAGGGCCTTTAATAAAATAGCATTTGATATCTTTGCCCTTTTAAGCAATAGCTCCCTCCATGCCGACAGAATGGAATAGCTCCATTTTCAACAGCCATGTGTCCTCCTTTTGAACAGTTTTTGGAGTTAGCTATTTGGGGTAATTTGGAATGAAAAAGCTGCAAACAATATACAGTGCAGTGAGCTTATCAAAGAAGGGAAGCTAGAAAAGATGTAGTTGAATGAGCTTTCAAAGCCTTGCATTTCCTGGACCAGAACAGGGCACTGCAGCCTGGGAAAAGGCAGGCATGTTCCAGACATCTGAAGGCTCACACAAAACATGGCCATTTTTAGGAGGGATCCCAGTTCAGAAAGCCCACTTATGCACCATTCCCAGGTGAACAAGACCACCAGTAGTGGTGGTGATGGGGACTGAGCTGAGATCCCCTCTCCCCTGTCCCCCAGCCATGAGAAGCAGGGGGATGGCTTCTATACACATCACAGAAAGGACCACACACTGGCTGGAAGAGAACTAAAAAGCACCCACTGTGTGGATTACCAGCAGCACCTTGGGGGTGTTTCTGGGAGGAAGCCTGGGTGCCAGGCCACCTGCAACCTTGGGCACGCCTTCCCCGGGCTCCTTCCGCTTCTCTGGGCTTTAGCAGAGCAGCTGCATGGTGCTGGACAAACAGCCACACTGACTGCTTTCAAGTTAAATCTTGACCCCAAATTGTCACTGAGCCTATGGCATTGGCCCTGCATGCCTACTGCTCTTCTAAAGCATGTTCCTGTTCTTGCTCTTCAGAACAGATTTTCTTTTTCCAAACTTGCCCACTCCAACCCGCGATGATGGTACTTCACTGAGCGCACGCGGGCGCTCCCAGCTGCCCGCCTAGCTGCACCTTCCCAAGCCACCTCCCGTTCTCCATCCCTCCTCCTCCTTCCCCTCCTCCTCCTCTGCTATATAATCTACGCGGAAAAAAGTGAGGGGAACAAGAAACCCTGGAATCATCGCCTTCCTTCTCTGCTGCTCGAAGATGCCGAGGATGTGGCCTCCTCAGGGTTTTAAACTTTCTACTCCTGCCTGGGCAGCTCCTCCTCTTGACCTCTGTATGGTGGGCTCCTTGCAATTCAGGTGTCGGCTTAGATGTCACCCCCTCAGAAGCCCTCTGCTGTTGGTATTCACGTGCCACCCAGATCCCCCCTTCAGGCTGCAGGGATGCTGCTGGCACATGGTCCTCTGTTCATGACCTCCAGAGCCCACCCCGGCCTGTCACTCAGAAGACACCGTTGCCAAAGGAATAACAGCTGTCTGCTGACTTTCTACAAGTGGCTCCGCATTAAAGACAAGGCACATACGATTTCTCACAACATTCCTGAGGACGCAGGGACTAGGCTGCCACTTTTACCTTTGAACCTTCCTTCAGAAAACAATGTGAAAATGGAAGAAAATGCAGAAAACAGTAATTAAGAGACTCAGGGACTGCAGCCATGACCAAAAGCAAGGAGAGACTAAAACCTGAGATAGTCTGGCAAACTAGGGACTTTGTATATAAATGGTCACTTACAGGTACATAAAAATGAAGGGACTGGAGTTAGCAGGTGGAAAGGCTATGCGACAGAGAAGGGGACCAAGAGGAGCGAGGAGAAGGTCCTGCCCCCACACCCCAGAGACTCGCAACACACCCCAGAGACTGTCCCCCACACCTCAGATACCGTCCCCCACACCTCAAAGACTGTCCCCCACACCTCAGAGACTCGCCCCCACACCTCAGATACCATCCCCCATGCCTCAAAGACTGTGCCCCACACCCCAGAGACTGCCACTTAGGATTTGGGTACACAGGACATTATACACAGCTCTACTCACGAGAGACGTGGTTTCTGGTCCGGACGCCGGGGCTTTAAAGGTGGATGTGGGCTTGGGAACATCTGCTTTCTTGTCTGCAGCTGCTCGCGTGGACAAGCACTCCAGGTAATCGGGAGGGGGGATGGGGACGGCAGCACAGCTCTTCTCCGACAAGTCCACGGTGCTCATGCTCCTCACGGGCGCTGGGCTAATGGCCCGAGTTAGGGAACAAGATAGAGAAGGTCCTGCCACCAGATCCCAGCACTCAAAATAGCCACAATCAGAACGACAACAGAATCATCATAAAGAAGGACTGGGTAGGAGGAGGTCTCACACACACACACACACACACAATATCGTAGATATTATCGGGATTGGAGTGCAGATTTAGGGGTTACTGGGATAGAGGTGCCAAAGGAAGCCCATCGGTGTAATAGGAACCATGGTAGTAGACACAGCACAGGAAGGAGAGAAGGAAAAAGGACTAAGGACAGACAGATCCCCAAGGAACACCTATGTTTAAACAGGGGGCGGGGGAGTGGCCTGTGAGGAAAGGGAGGATGCTGGTGAGGTGCCAGGACAATCGAGGGCCAGGTCCGGAAACCCAGCAGGGAGCGTTACAGAGGTGTCCCCCAGTGTTGCAGGCTGCTCAGGAAGGCCAAGAGGGAAAGGTGACCCTAGTTTGTTTGGCTCAGTGGATAGGCATCCGCCCTCAGACTGAAGGGTCCTGGGTTTGATTCCAGCTAAGGGCGCATACCTCAGTTGCAGGCCCTTGATCTCTGGTTCCTGGTCAGGGCTTGTGTGGGAGGCAACCAATTGATGTTTCTCTTTGTCTCTCCCCCTCCCTTTCACTCTCTACAAATCAATGGAAAAATACCCTTGGATGAGGATTAACAAAAAAAAGGAGGGAGAAGAGGGATGCACCCAGTGTGGGTGGGACGTTGGGAGTGGCCCTAGAGGGCTGAGGGGTGGGCCTGGGCTGGGAAACTTCACGGCAGATAGTCAGTAAAGCCCGTGGACACAGAAACCACTAGGAAAGCGTGTGAGCAGCAGTCTCCTGCTCAGTCCCCACAAATCAGACAGAATTCTGATCTGCCTGGAAACAGCAGGTTGAGTTCCCTGTCACTGGGCCCTGTGGGCACAGCCGGTCCTACCTGGGCGCGGGCACACTCACTGCCTCCTGCGCGCTCTCTTCCAGCAGCCTCGTGTACGAGGACGGGAACCAGCCCCTCCTGCGCGGGCAGAGGAGAGAAAGGCCTGGCTGTGGGCGGGCCGTGGACACGTGAACAATAAACACACTGAGGACCTCTCCCCCCATCACGCCATGTGTGCTTCACATACAGTGTTCCTTTTATGTGGATTCCCTTTATGCCCCCTGCCCCTTCCTGGTTTTGTTTAATAGATGCGTAATCTACAAAGAAAACCATTTATGTGCTAAGTCTCAAAGTACATCTGATATGCAGATTATCCTTGAGAAATCCAAAGTCACGTGTTTTGTTCTCAAAAAACCAGAGAATACTTAAAACCTATTTCAGAGGTGACGCATAGGATCTAAGCTCTATTCTTGTGTCAAACTGATCTATCCATGCACACATGCAGAAAACAGGCTGGGACAGAACAGCTCCAGTTCACTATACCAGCGGTCGCCAACCGAGGACCACTGGTGGTCTGAGGTCCAAAAGGTTGGCGACCGCTGAACTAAACCACAACTACAGCTAAACTAGGACCATAACGCTGGCTAAAACGCTAGTATGTCCACAAGGACCATGTGCCGCTCACAGGAGAGACGGCAGTTCTCTGCCGCGCTGGGCTCTGGCTCCTGAGTGGACCACCCACCCGAGACTTACGCTTTGGAGGTGTCGTGCTCTCCGTAGAGCCAGCCGTCTCTCTCCTCAGCAACGAGCAGCGTGATGACGTCTCCCTGCGCAAAGCCAAGCTGGTTGGTGCCAGCCGTGTGCGGGAAGATGGTTTTCACTTTCTGCCTTTTCATCATGTTCAGTCCCGTTGCAACAGACACCGATCGCTGTAAACTGGGATCCTCCGAAGAAGCTGAAGACAACACAGTGGTGATGGCTTTTCCAGGAACAACAATCGGGCCACTTCCAGCACAAAGCCAGGCGTGTTCTACTGCCACAGCCTTACCGGTGCGGGAGGGACAAGGACTACAAGGGACTGCAAGGAGGCCCCTTCTGCAGACGGAGGGGATAAAGCAGGGCCTGCCGGGCTTCCCCGCACTCCTGCCTCAATCGGGGTGGCTCTCAGAGGCAGGCAAGCTGTCCACCACCAAACGATGCTTCCCTTCCCTGCTCTCAATACGAACCACAGGCCGAGGGAGGCCTCAACTCTAGCCCAACTGCCCATGACCTGGGCCAAAGACTGGAAATGCTGCCGTGAAGACAAGCACCTTAACTGAGCCCTTCGCAGCCTCTGAGGTTGGCCCGGGCAGAGCCAGGAACCAGCTGCGGGCGGCCTGGCTCCACAGCCCAAACCACACTCCGTGGAGCAGCACGCTGTGCACTTTGTGTCTCAATTCAAATACCGCCTGTTATTTACACTCAAAACCAAAATTGGAAAGGAGATTTTCTTCTTTTTAGGTATTTTTTCCAGTCAGATTTTGCTAGCCCACTATTTAAAACAATGTAAGATCTCTCTCTGCTTTCCTCCTTAATCTTATTAATTACTCTGTAAACTTTGCTAACTTCTTACCACGCGCTCTCTGATTACGTCAGCAGTGCTGAATGCATTAGCAATGTTATTTCCTTTTACCAAAAAGAATCAAAGAATCATTTGAATGACTGGGATGCACACAGCATTATGTATTTTAACTGTACATGGTATATAACTTGCAGTCCTTCCTTCAAAGGCAAATGCTTGCAGGCCGTTATCTCCCCAGCTGCCATTCGGAAAATCTCATCTCTTCCCCAACAGCTGCAGTACGCTAACCCGGGGTCTCTCTAGCACACGGCTCAGCGGCCACGGCTTTCACCCTGGGAGTCACCCAGAGACAGGGGCCTGGGCGCCAGGCTACTGTAGGCAGAGCCGAGTCTAACCAAAGCCTCCCGAAACGTCCGCAAACAACTGGTCCCAATTTCCTGCAATTCAGTCAACAGCGCTAAGGACTTTCAGCAGCAGAACCACATGCCCAGGAGGCCTGGGCGCTGCCTGATGATGAGAATCTCTGGTTACAGCTCAAGCTGAGCCTGTCGGTGAGATCAACAACCACAATTCTGTTACGTGAACCTTTAGAGTTTTACTGAAAAAACATTATTACAATTACCACTGAACACAGGACACAGTGGGGGCTCTCTGTACATCATATCCTATTTCAAAAACAACCTTTCAATAGCATATTGGCTCCTGTAAACAGCAATCGGTATACAGAATTAGGATGTGTCAGAAAAGGTGTCATGTATAACATGTCCCCTGGTTTTTCCATAAACCCAGACCTGTGTTTGTTCTGAGGTGTAAGCTCCTCCATGTTGGACATGTGCCATATACATGCTTAGTCACCGCTACCTCAAGATGCATTTATCCAAAATATTGATTTTAAAGTTTTAGACAGGAATTTTACAGAAAAATGCCTTACCCGAATTCTGTGCAGCAGTCGCTGGGTTATTAAACATATCAATCAAAGGGCTGGTGACCACTCTGCCTGAAGGAGCCGGGGGCACCTTGGGTGGATACTTAGAAAGGGTGTCGTAGTCTTTCCCAGCCTGTGAAAAAGTCTTCATTAGTTTACTATTAGTCTAACATAGCAACAGAAGTACAGTTTTCCAGGCTGCTCCATATTACATGCTCTAAGTCCCACAGTTCCCCAAGTTCCCTTAGTTGAAGGGCAATACCCCATCTTGAATTATTTAAATAATATATTTTTTCCATTTTTTGTCTTTAAAAAAATAAAACAAAAAAACAAAACCATTATCTTTAAAAACAAAACAAAACAAAGCAGGCACTCCCCACACTCTCGCCCCCTGGTGACCACTAATCTGCTTTCCTTCTGTGGATTTCAGGCTCCCTCGTCCGTGCTACTCGGTCAGAGGAGTCTACATCTGAAATAATTTTCCACAGAACTTTGAGTGCTTTGCTCCATTGATTTCTTTTTTAAAAAAATGTTTTTATTGATTTTTTTGAAAAAGAGGAATGAAGAGAGAAACATTGAGAGAGAAACATCATGGACTAGCTGTCTCCTGCACACTCCCTACTGGGAATCAAGCCCAAAACCCAGGCATGTGTCCTGATCGGGAATCGAACCAGCTATCTCTTGGCTCATGAGTCTCTACCCCTGAGCAACACCGGCTGGCCGTTCCACTAATTTCTAACATCTTGTTTTGTTAACAAGAAATCTGGTCTGCATAGGTTTCTCTTTACTTTGTAAATAATCTGTTTTTTCTCTCCCTAGAGGTTTTCTGAATTTTCTCTTTATCCCTAACATTCTGCAATCTTATCGAGGTTTTGGTCATTTCTGCGTGTCTCAGATCGGCCTGGCTGCCACGTGAGAGACCAGGCGGGCAGGAGGCTGCTGCGGTCTCTCTGAGGGGCTGCAGTCAGAGCAGCGTAGGGCTGAGGGGTTGGACTGGGACATGCTCTGACGATGGAAACGTTAGGGTTGGCCTATGGACTGACAGTGGTATAAGCGAACAAGAGAGAGGAGTTGCCGCATCGTGTCTGAGCTGCTGGAAGGACGACACTGCCGTTCACTGGTTCTGGACCAGTTGAATGTGAGATCCCCATTAGACATCGGTGGTGATGCTGGGCAGGCAGTGGAGTGTACCTCCCTTGTCTCAGGTGGCCTAACACGTTTCTCCTCTTTCCCATTAAAAAAAAAGTCCTTGTTCTGTGTTTGCACTGTGTTTTGGAAGTGTTTCGGTTTAATTTTCCAAGCAGTTCCATTCTTCTAAATGAGCCCATCAGTTGTTATTGTGTTTTGAGGGCAGAGAGAGAAATGGGAAAAAAATTATTTTAGAAAGATTTCAAAGGGATGAGAGAATAGCACCATAAATCTCCATGCACCTAACACCTACCTTCAGTAGTTATCACTTCCTGCACAGAAAGGTGGATTGTTTGGTCCTGGCCAGTGTGGGTCAGTGGGCTGGGCATTGTCCCTTGCACTAAGGTCACCGGTTCGATTCCTGGTCAGGGCATATGCCTGGGTTTTGGGCTCAATCCCCATTAGGGGGAGTGCAGAAGGCAACTGACAATGGATCCCTCTCCCTTCCTCTCTCTAAAATCAATAAAAACATATCTTTTAAAAAAGCAAACACGCAATTGAGATCTTGGAGGTAGCGGGTTCCTACCATGCTCCTTCTCTCGACCACTGGCGAAGGCTGAGGCGTCCAGGACGTGGGGGTGGAGCTAGGGGTCTTTATTTCTTCTATCATGTTGATGATTTCCTCTGGCACTTTGGTGGCATCACCGCAGGTTTTCTGCCACCTGGGCAGTTTGGAATTCAGTAATTCTGCCGACTGTAAATCCAAAGGACACAATATG